TGTAAAGTCTTGCTCTACAGCCAAAATGATCCATGCCATTTGGAAAACAGATAGAGAACTGTACATATGTAACACACAGGTAGCGTAACAGAGGCCTCATTTGCAAAACCAATCCAATATTCATTATTAAGAAATCTACTATTACTTCATGATGTTGAAGAAAACTAGTAAGAGTTAATTATCATCACGGGAGAGAAAGAGGAACAGTTTGCTACAAGAACATCTAAGATTCAGTTTTGCTGTCTTTCTCAGACCCAGGACTGTTGAGTTTCCCCTCCTGAAGACAGTTTCAAACTGAAGACTATTTCTAGCTGATCTATGAGATTTTGTACCTCACTCCAACGTACAAGGAACATTGTTCCGAATCCACATACTGTGCCCACACCCTACTCCCATAAATTATTACTGGAGAATAGACCAAAAAAGAATAGACCAAAGACTAAAGAATAGACCAAAAAATTGCCACCCATTCTCCTGACCTTGCAGCTGAGGTAGATTCTCACCTGCTATAGAGAGAAACTCACAGAAGCAAATGTAACAGGTAAGAAAATTTCCATCTCTTTACTGTAAAAAGTGATATATTTGAGAGTGACACATTTGATGCAGAAACTATGGATTCCAGTCTTGGCACAAATCTCTGGTATTGGTAAATAAGTTGGCCTTCCAGCAGAGCCGGCCCACAAAATTTTGGCACCTGAGGCGGGGAGCTCAAATGACACTCCCCATGCCCCCTCGCTTGGGCGAAAACTTTGAAAGGTCTCAATTCTGCCTTCTTCCTGTTCTACTCCTCTCATGGTACTGCTCTGCTACCTATCCCAATAAAGGAGAACTAACAACTTAAAATTCCTTGTTCAAAAATTTTAAGTAACACTTAACTTTCAAACACCCGAACAGCAAATGTAACTTTTCTTGTCTGCATAGTAAACACTGACATTTTTATCTGTTTGAATAATAAAAGTGGTGCTTTCTTGGTTGCAAAAATTCGAACTGCTTCCTGCTGAAGGTACACAGTCTGGGTCAGCTCATGCTCTATTGAGATGGTTTCAAGGCCGATCAGCCTCTCCTGTGTCATTGTGGAGCGCAGATGTGTTTTTATTAATTTCAGCTTGGAGAAGCTGCGTTCTCCACTGGCAACTGTTACAGGAAGTGTTGGAAGTATGCACAGAGCAACAAAAGCATTTGGAAATATTCCAGAACAGCCTTTGGAGTTGATCCTGCTGAAATGCATCTTGAAAGGGCTTTCAGTTCATCACCTAAATCACTCCCATCAATATGGCGCATGTCATCACATGTCAACACTGTCTCTAGTGCCCTGCATTGCTGTGTAGGTCTTCTTCAGATATAGTGAGGAGTTTTGGAATATCATACAACTTCCCAAATATACTGCTGTGTTCCTTGAGCTGCATGAAATGTTCTTCAGCTGACAGTATTGCACAATCTAGCACCTGGTTAAAGAATTCAACTTTGAATTGTTGTTTGGGTCTCTTATGGGATTATCCCGTGCCTCGTAATAAAAATGTCTTCTTCAGTGACTCTTGTATTCTTGAATGGGTGGGAAAATAGCTTCAGTGTGAAGTTCTTCTGCCAACTTCTGTGCACTCTTCAGAATGCTTTGAAATCCCTTAGCTGACCAGTAAGACTGTAGGCATGACTTTGCTTTGTCCAGTTGTTCCATTGCTCCAGATATATCAAGGTCAACACCTTGGAGTCTCTTGCTTACAACATTTATTTCAAACAGTATGTCATGCCACAACATTAAGTCACACAGAAATTTGAAGTTATGTATGTTTGTGGTGATTCCATTTTCCTCTGCCACTGTTCTCCCATGAACAGTTCCTGTCATAGCATTATCCTCCATAATGGCAACTATGGCATCATCTATCTTCCCAATTTGGTGTTTGATAGGCTTTATCGCCTCCACTCGACTTTCCCATCGTGTGGCACTCAGTAGTTTCAGTGTCAGAGAGGATGTTCCCAGATGTTGCTTCAAAATCTGCCATCGATGAGTTGATGCAGAGAAAAATACATAGATGCTTTGAATTATATTAAAAAATTCAGCAGCCTCACTAGAAGCTGATGCTGCATCACTGACCGCCAAGTTCAATGAATGAGACAAAAAAAGCTCTAGGGTTTAACTCTCGGATACGTGTCTGCACTCCTCTGTTCTTTCCTCTCATGTTGGCACCATTATCGTAGTCCTGACCTCTCATGTCACCTATTGCAATTCCCATATCTTCCAGCTTCTTAAGAAGCACATTTGTCATACCAGCTCCTGTAGTATCATCAATGTCAATAAATTCTAGAAAATGGTCTCTGACAGTCACCATTGCAGGGACATTTTCACTAGGTTCTGTTGTTGTTACAAAATGCACCATTAAAGCCATTTGTTCCGTATGGCTGATATCAGGTGTGCAGTCCAGAATAACAGACTTCAGATCTTGCTGACTTCAGATCTGCCACAATCTTCCATTCGACTTTAGTTGCCAGTAACTGTACGATCTCGTTTTGAATTGTTTTTCCAAGGTAGTGGCATGTGTACATTTCTTGGGTGGTGACTCTTCTTAGATGCTCCTGGAGTACAGCATCAAACCCAGCCATCAGCTCCACAATTTTAAGAAAGTTTCCATTGTTTGGCACATACAGCTGATCTGAAGTGCCACACAGTGCTAGGTTTTGGGTAGTAAGCATTCTCACAATGGCAATGGGCCTTTTCAGAACATTTTGCCAGTGAAGAGACTCAGATGCAATCTTCTCTTGATGCTGATCATCTATGCTGGCCTTTAACCTTAGTCTCATCTCAAGCTCTTTCCACCTATGGAATGGTCTCTGGTGATTTGCTGCCTTCTCATGGCATGCCAGATTTCTAGCCAGATTTTTCCAGTCCTTTGTTCCTGTAGAACCCAATGTGGGTGGAACATTAGACTGGAAGAGTTTGCAACAAAAACGGTATGCAGCATTCTGGGGTTTTTGAGTACATAAGCCATGGCCTCTGCACTTTGTCACCATTGGGGATTTCACGCCAGTAATGTGTTGGATAGAAACTTCTATTTTCATTGCCTTTGGGGAACATGAAGTTTTTCACTTGCTGTGGCCCATGCAGTACAAGGAAGTCCCTCAGGCTACTGCTCAAGTAGGTCCACAATCCTGGATCATCTAGACTTAAGGAACTAAACTCAGCAGCAGCAGTTTCTTGCGCCTCGACCACACTCTTCTCTGATCTACACTTTTCTTCAGGAATGTGCATGGTTACATCCATTTGAGATCGAGATATGGATGCTGCAGTAGCTGCCAGGTCAGTTGCTGCTCTAACTGGGAAGATCAGGCATCTCCTCACCACTCACATCCTCACTGGGGCTGGAAGGCTCACCATGAACATTTGTATCTATGTATATCAGGAGAGCTCCTTCCTGCTTAGATAGAAAAGCTTCCTTTGCTTTCTTTCTTTTTCTGAATGCTGCCTCAGAGGGGTGTTTTCTTCTTTCACTCATGACTGCTGTTCTGTGCCAGCTATAGTGGCTCTCAACACTCAGTTGAAGGGGACAAATAAGCAGGCTGGTAGTAGGGCCTGAGTGAGGGAAGACATCAGTGTCTTACGGGCCTAACTGGCTCCTACTACTTCAGTTGACTGCCTGTTCTTCTCAAGTGGATTCAGGGAAGCAGCAAGAAACAGAAAGCTCCCTGAGAAGCTGGTGTTAATCAGTTAATCAGGCTCCTGGGGGTGATAGAGAGGTACAAAGAGGCTCCTCCTCCTCTCTCTCCCTGCAGCTCCAGCTGCTTTCTGTTATTCCCTCTCACCTTTTCTCCTGCCTGCCTGTTCTCTCTTGTGCCCTCCTTTCTCCGGCACAGCACTCCACCATCTCTGTGCATCTAGAGCAGAGAGAATACATGTGCACCAGCAGCAGACACAATTTTCTACACTCTGGGTCCTAGTGGCACCCCCTCAGAGTCTGGCACCTGAGCCGGCCGCCTCAGTTCGCCTCATGGTAAGGCCAGCCCTTCCTTCCAGCTGCATTAAAATTAGGGCTACAGCTAAAATCCTAGCATCAGTACACAAATGGAATGGAATAATAGTTTTAACTAATTAAATGACCAAATCTTATAAAATTTCTAATAATTTAAATATCATTGATCTAAAACCAAGTCATGAAAATGTGGGAAACACACAAAGAAGTAATTACAGGATAAAATAAAACACGGAGCCCAAATCATGCACTCTCCCACTAAATAAAAGGAAGAGTAGATTTTCTCGCAGCTTGCAGCACAGAATTTGGTTCTGCTTCCAAGACCCTTTCCTTCGGTCTTGGAATACCACACACCTTCAAAGAGGCACTTTTACGTTCATTGCACATACACAACACAAGATTCTCATCTCGGATTTATACAGCAGATCTTGACTTTAATATTTCACTCTCTCTGCAAATGAAAACAATTAGAAATCCAGGCATGTAGGAAGAGCAGAATAATGGAGCCAAGAATCACCATGTGGATCTGAGAGAATTTTCTCCACAGCATTTTGTTAAATCGTCCTCTACCTAATATCTAGCTCTGCAGAAACTGCTGCATTCACAAAAGAGAAGCAACTTTACCTTTAAAAAAAGATTTGATTTTGGAACCAGCAGAGGATTTATGAGCAAAAGACATTTTGAAAGTGTGCGTTAAAATTTCCTTAAGGGTTAATGTATGCTCTTGAGTCTTTCTCTGAATGGTATTTTCAAGAAAAACCTAAAATAGATTAAATTATGTCAGAGACTTCAAAAGAAAACACTGTTCTTTCAAGGAGGCTTTTATGTAGCACAAAAACTTGAGCAGTGCAAGCAGTTCTTGAGTGCACAACTGAGATGCAATTTGATAAACAGCTTTCTGTCATTCAAGGCCAGGAATGTACAAAACCATACTATCAACACTTTCATCAAAAACATTATTCATTCTTTCTATCTCATTTTTATTGTGACTTTTTCATTTTATTTACCCAGTCAATCATAAAAAAATAGGTTTCTTACCACTTGTATGAGATACCATGCAAGCTGCAGATGAAGGGTCATTTTCACTTTTCTTAATGCCACTGCTGCTGTCTTCTTTTTCAAGCAGTCTGTCCACCATTGCAATAATGCAGTTTAAACTCTTCCCCACGTTGGTCCACACCCTATCCTGAAAAGAGCATCAGTATCACTACACATTATTGAAAGAAGCATAGCGAGAGATGTATTAGTAGACCACTGGCTTCTTAATACTGTCTACAGTAGAATTACTGAAGTGTAAAGTCAGATTAAGTGTCTACCAATTATGTAACTTAACATCTTTACACAGCATATCATCATTTCAAGAAAATTTTTTCCACTGCCCGTGTTTCTTTGGTGTAAATAATTGAATTGGGAACTGATTTTTTTAAGGCACTGAAAACGGTATATTTGTCATTCACTTCACACTGTCCAAAACCAAGGTCTAAAATCTCCTAAATATGCCCACATTGCACGTGCAGTTGCACGCAAAGTTGTCCACTATAGGTTCAATCCTGTGAGATTCTGAGCATCCTCGCATCCGATTAACTGACTGCGATGGGAGGTGAGGGTGTTCATTACCTTGCAGGATCGGCTCTTTGTTTGCAACACCATGGTTTGCACGTGCAGCTTTTTACTGCCCATTTACTGAACCCTCCATTTGCTAAAATGAGTCCCATGCTGAATAAGCAAACACAAAAATGAGAGATGGTACACCAATATTAGCAGCCTGTGTATATGCCACATTCAGCATCTAATGCAATTTCATTTTGTACATCATCTTCCATACAAACTGCAACCCATGACACTTTACAGAGTTAACCAGACATAACAAAAACTGCAGAAATAATAGAGGGGGAGTGAAATCAAGAGGTATAAGCACAGATGGAAAAGATAAGGTCAAGTCATTTGGAATGAGACAGACTAGAATCACTGTGCTGGAGAGCTACAGGAAGGCTCCTGCAGGTGTCAGGAGCTGCAGAAGAGAAGGCTCTTAGATCCACACTAGTGGGATTGTGTGGAAGGACAGAAAAGAGGCCAGAGCCAGATAAGGAGACAGAAATTGTGAGACAAGTCTAGTGATAGAGCTTGGAATGACTCCATTCACACTTTAAAATTAAAATGAGTCATTTGAACTGAAATAAATGGACAGCTAATGGAATTGTTTGAGGAGAAAGAGGGTGAGTGATGCAATCATTCTTCTATATATGTGTGATGTGGTGCCCAGAAGTGTACTACGTGTTTCTGTGGTGGGAGGCACGAGAAGGGAGTTTTACAAGACAAAGTGAAAGAAGAGGGTAAGCAGGAGGACTTAAGCAGAGACAATGAAAGCAACATCACATATGGGCAATGCTGTGGAGGTGCAGGACGGGAAGATTTAGACATGTGATGTGTGGGAGAAGGAGAATTTAGACTCAAAAACAATACTATGGTTACAGACAAATGTAAACAAATGGAAGATGGATGGAGCTCGAAGAGGCTGGATTTGTGCCAGAACTTCTACTGAGGCAAACGTCTTATTAATCTAATAACAATTCTGCATTGTGTATCACCATACTTTACAGCATATAATTCTGCTGTAGAATGTATCGCACTTTCAGAAGTTGCTACAGTATTTCAGTACTTATGTGTATAGTTCTTAATGGTTGGCAATTCCCTGGTTTTCCAGGGTCTTTTAATGAGACACTTACTATATAACAAAGAATTTGCTAGCCACTTCCAATCTGAACCCACGTTTGCCCTTTTTGCCAAGAAGGCTAAAGGCATTTTGGGCAGTATAAGTAGGAGTATTGCCAGCAGATTGAGGGACATGATCATTCCCCTCTATTCGACATTGGTGAGGCCTCATCTGGAGTACTTGGGCCCCACACTACAAGAAGGATGTGGAAAAATTGGAAAGAGTCCAGCGAAGGGCAACAAAAATAATTAGGGGGTTGGAACACATGACTTATGAGGAGAGGCTGAGGGAACTGGGATTATGAGGTCTGCAGAAGAGAAGAATGAGGGGGGATTTGATAGCTGCTTTCAATTACCAGAAAGGGGGTTCCAAAGAGGATGGATCTAGACTGTTCTCAGTGGTAGAAGATGACAGAACGAAGAGTAATGGTTTCAAGTTGCAGTGGGGGAGGTTTAGGTTGGATATTAGGAAAAACTTTTCACTAGGAGCATGGTAAAGCACTGGAATGAGTTACCTACGGAGGTGGTGGAATCTCCTTCCTTTGAGGTTTTTAAAGTCAGGCTTGACAAAGCCTTGGCTGGGATGATTTAGTTGGGGATTGTTCCTGCTTTGAGCAGGGGGTTGGACTAGATGACCTCCCAAGGTGCCTTCCAACCCTGATAACCTATGATTCTATGAAATCTTAAACGATGTCCAATTAATCATAGATTGTATAACACATAGTAGGAAAGTTTACCTAATACTGTAAAATAATCCTGATTAATGTATAAGATTCTAAATTTCGAGATATGCAGAACATGAAGTAGATTTGTGATAAGTGAAGTATAGTACATGTGTTTAGTACTAGTACTGCATGTATTATATAGCATCCATTACATGTACATGAAAGTGGTGGCAGCTAAAAAGGAACACAAACGCTTCACTGAGAGATATGATTTCAAAGAGAAACCAATGACACATTTGAATATGAGTTACATATAGGTTAAGCAGTCAGTATAATCAGCTGTTAGTGCTTGTAACATAAAATCTGTTAATGTGATAAATCTGTTGTCATTATGATATAATGAGGTTTTATATTAATCATGAAAATGTGCATGTGTATATATTTATATTGTTTTTTTACAAAACACACACCTACACTTTATTATTATAATAGCCCAGAGCCATCACCCTGTACCTCCTCCTGAACACCCAACACTGCCCCAGCCTGGAGCCCCCTCCTGCACCCAAACTCCCTCCCAGAGCTTGCACCCTTCGCCCCCTCCTGCACCCCAACCCCCTACCCCAGGCTCAGCCCAGAGCTCCCTTCCACACTCCAAACCCCTCAGCCCCATCCCAGAGCCTGCACCCCTTCCCGAACCGCAACCTCCTGCCCCAGCCTGGTGAAAGTGAGTGAGGGTGAAGGACAGCCAGCGACAGAGAAAGGGGGGGATGAAGTGAGCGGGGGGGGGGACTTCGGGGAAGGGGTGGGGTAGATCCTGGGTTGCACTTAAATTCAAAAAGTGATCTTGTGTATAAAAAGGATGGAGACCACTGGGAAATAGGCTATTGAGGGTGGGAGAATATTTCACACAGGAATTACAGTATATTCAAATATTGCACAGCAGTATTAGCATACTGGTTAAAATACTATCAAAAATAAAGTGATTATATACAAAATACTGATTACTTTCCACTGTCAACAGTCAATTGCATAATTTTTGGTATACTAATTTCTTTTATAAATATTTTGATATGTAATCTTCTAGAACTGTCGTTTTAACTGGGAAAAAAGTCAGCTTGTTCTAGCCATTGTATTTTTTTATTATTACTATACAAATAGCATTGTAACACCAACCATGTTAACTAGTCAGTCAGAAATGTAGAGCAGAAACACTTCCAAGTGGCAGTCTGCCCACCCACTCTTGCATTATGCATGATATGTCATTTTTTTCCCTCCCTGGAGGGAGGTTCTGGGATAGCAGAAGCAGCTGGCAAGCAGAGAAGGAAGTAACTATCCAGAGGCAATCTGTTAACTATCAGGTTAAATATTTTTCCTTAAGCAGTAATGCTTTGGTACTACCTAAGCATAGTGCTTATAATTACACCAGTACAAATAGCTCAATCAATACTGCTCTCAACCGTCTGGCATTAATGTTTGTATTTGACATCCAAACAGAAAGGTGTATTATAGCACTGCTGCTCAGGGCCCTGATCCTGCAACAGGATCAGCATAGCAAGATCCCTGCTTCACTACAGAACCCCAGTGGATCCACCAATTTGGATCCAGTTGCAGAAATAGAACCTGCATTAAGTTGATTAGAAATGTATACTCAAAAAGGCAAAGAAAAACCTCTTACCAGATATAAATAATCAACAAAGAACAGAAATACAAAAAGCTATTTTTCAAAGGGGTTTAGTTTGTACATTAACTTTTAGCCTAATGGCGTATGCGTCTCAAGGAATATAGGCAGTTTCATAAGTTACTAGAAATCTGCATTTGCATTCTTTTTAAATATAATTTTTTTGTACGACACACAGATTAGTTAAGAGTAAGAATAATTCAGTTTCTCAGATATCCTTGCCCACTTAATGTGAAGAACAGAACATCAAAATAGAAAGTTGGAAACTACTCCTTATAAAGAAATTTTTTTTTGCCTTTTTTTAAAGTTGGGCCTAGATTCCAGATGCTCGTAAAAATAAATCATCAGTATTGTAAAAAAAATTTAAAAATTAATCCGTTATTTAAAGTAGCAAGACCTGGGTCAATTTAAGAATTTTGTAGGACATTATTATTTTAGATTTCAGACGAACTAAACTTAGAATCCCAGCTGCAAGAAGCTTCTGGTTGCTTTGATATAGTGAAAGAAAAGCAGTATGTATCTTCACCAACACAAAGCTGAAGAATACTGCACATGGCAGAGAGAGTCACAGAAAGCACAATATTCCTTTGAGGTTTAATTGTTTTCTAATTTCCAAACAAATATTCAAAGAAATGTTATTGCATAACTAAATTGCAGATTAGACTAAGCATTTTTTTTTTTACACTTTCCAAGCACTTGCTCAGAGGTTTCTATTTCCACCATGTTGACAAGAGTTCAGTAATTAAAACTAAGATAATATATGCCATCAGCTTTCCATTAAAACAGAGAATGGAAAGCTAATGAGAGGATAATTTAGGCCCTGATCTCACAAAATACTTAAATACGTGCTTAACTTTAAGAATGCAAGAAATCCTGTTTACTTTAATGGGAATACTTACATATTTCAAATTTAGCATGTGCTTCAGTGCTTCACTGGGCTGGGGATTTAGACAACTGTTAGGACACTAACTCATGTTATAAAGAAATAAAATAAAGCTTCAACAAGCAAATAAAACCAAGGTAGCATCTATGTAACTTCCAATGAATTAAAATGAACGAAGATTCAACTTGTACAAAATTATTAATCTTTTCAATGTCGTCAACATTCATGATTTTATCGCAAGTCTTGCAATATTATTTGTTCTCCTTAAAGCTCCAGCTCCCAGAGTCGTTATTACATGAAAATTTCAGCTTTCATTTAAAATAAAAAGCATATTTTTTGTCTTTTCTTTATCTGAAAAATATTCTTCTTTCCATATTCATGGTATAAGCAGACGTTAGTTCAGGTGTGAAGATACTGTAGCTCACACAAGCAAAGATTAATTATTAATTATTGAAAGCAAAGATTAATATGTTGGAGTACTTGCATCCATGATACCACAGCGATGAATCGAAGAAACTGATGGGAAATAGAATGGAGGATGTGGGAGGAATGTGTTGAGGGAGAAGATCAATCATAAAAGCATCCACTGAAATAATGGATTCACAAAATCTCAGCTGTATAAATTGTACAAATCGTTGAAAGATCTGCCAAGAATGGTGATGTTTAAAAACCATGTTTGAGTCTTTTATGGCATTTCAGATATCCTCTAAGAACAGACTCGGAGAAAACAGTTCCCCTTCACTGATCATTAGTTTATGCATTTTTAAACTGTTTATGTTCACTCTTGGCAAAAATTGCACTTTGATTTCATACTCCTTTTTTGTCCCCTTTATATCTATTTAAATGACTAAAAGGATTGAGGTAAACAAACAGCATGGCTTTTTCCCATCTGGTCATGAAGATGTTCGCGTCCAACATTGCTATATGCACAAACTAAGCAGTCACACACAAGCAAATTATTCATCAGAAAATTCTTTCAAGTTACTTTTGACTTCATTAGAAAAGTATTCTTGGCATTCAAATGAAAAAAATTGAATCTATGCATCTGTAAAATACAGTTGTATTTAAAGTTTTTAAATTCTCTTTTTCTAACAAGAGGAGACATGGAGATTAAGACTTGTGTTTGTCTACACTTAGCTGTGGATTTTTTGATAGAGTTTCAAGCAAGAACTTTGAGGCTACTTACCCACTCTTCTTCATCATATTCTGAATGGTGAGGTATAGAGTTCTGCCGTTTGATCTGAGATGGATGGTTCTGACCCTGTGGATCACCACATTCTTCCATACTGGTTCTGGGCACAGTTGGCTTCTTGAGGACACAACCTGGACGGGCTGTGTATAGCGCTAAAAGGGCACTTCTGACCAGCTGATCCTTGAAGGCATGCACAAATAACTCTGTCTAGAAAGAAATTAATGAGTGGTTAGACCGAAGTGTATAATGGTATAATGTATATGTAATTATTAAAATACATATTTTTGTTTAGGTAGAGTGAAAATTAATTGCTAAACAGTCCGAGACACAGAAAGGAACTTATGCCAAACATTGGGGAACAATGTCAAGTTCTGGAACATTGCCAGTCTCTGAAATTCCACTCTTCTAAAAGTTAATGCAAAAGTACAGTATCTGTTATAAAGACCATCTGTCTATACAGTCCTGTTTTATTGTAGTTCCAAATCCTCTCTGTAGAGATAGGTTTCTATGGAGATAACTGTTTGAACAGTATCAATCTGCTGCTCGTTTTAAGTATGACCCAACAAATGTCAAAAGAAAATATGATTAATTTCAGAATTTTCTTTCCAAAAAAGAAAAATAAATAAATAAATACAAGTAGAGTATAGCACAAGGAAGGCAATGCTTACAAGTGGGATTGAAGTATATGCACAAAGCATGAGCTTAGATAAGTGCTGGAATAAGTCATAGGCACTATAGGCTCATGCCTAGGGACCCAGCTTTTGGAGTTAGTTGTGCGATGGTGTCAGAATCTCAGCTTTCTTTAAAAAAAAAAAAGTCTATCCCTTATTGTTGCAGAGACAAGTTTGAAAATGTGACTCAAGCATAACCAATGACGTGACATCTGCAGAGAAACCAGAACAATAGCTTTAGAATTACATAACGTCCATTCACCTAAGTGGGGTGTTAACTCAAATCCACAGCTCTGGAAGTCTTTCCCAATACTATCCCAGCAGAAGACTCTGAGATGCAGGAGGATATGAGAGCAACAGGCCTGGCCTACTCACCCAAGCAGATATACTCCAGTTGCTGGCAGTACTGAGAGGCCTGCTGTCTGCCTTTTTTGGGGAGAAGAGGGACCTTGACGCTCCTGAGGAAAAAGAGCCCTGGATGCCATTCCTAGAGTGATAACGTGACTCAGAGGCCCATTTGTTGTTGACTACTCTGTGACAGAGGCTCGTCAGGCCTGACATACTCCCTACATCCAACACACTGTCGACATAATCTGTATCTAAAAGGTGCCATGTAAAATATCATTGGAAAATAACTCACTGGTTATTATTATTCTTGCATGATGTAGGTAGAGGGTGTGTACAAAGTGTTACAGATATGTGCTAGAATTATGTTCTTAAAATGTGTTTGGCAAGCAGTGTAAAAGTCCATTCTGCCCTAAACAAAGGAATGCTCATTTGCTTGTCTGGCAGAGACAATGAAGGTCTGTTTACATATAAGATAAACAAATTGGGGTTGGTGGTGGTGGTGGTGGTGGTGGTTGGGGGGGAGACAGTATGGTGTCTATACCCCAACAACAGAGAGAAACCATTTGGCCTATAAAGTGCGGGGTCTGAACCTCAAATGATAAGTAACTGAATCAACTGATTGTACACAATATTATTGTATAGCAAATGTGTATTGAGTAAGGTCCTTTCTGTAAGCTAATGACCCACTGGTGATTAATATCATTGTAAAATCTATGTATTAACACTATATGAGGAAATATGGATAGTGCATGATATTATGCTTTAAAGTCTGTGACAAACACAGGGAGAAACAGGTTTTCCTCAGACAGAAGGGAAGGGACCTATCAACCTGTCTCCAATGAAATTAAACAAGGTGTGATCAAAAGCAATGGAAGCCCCATTTACATATGAATCAATGGGGGGATAGGAAGTCCACAAGAAGAGAAGAACAGCATGAGATCATCCTGAGTCTGAGGACAAAACAGTGAATTTGGGAAGCTAATATAAGGAGAGAAAAGAAGCCATTTTGGCATCCATCACTGGACAGACAGAAGAGGTCAGAGCTCTTGCAAGCTGAGAAGGATGGGTCTGTCATCTCAGTGGGTTGAAGTCTCTGGGAACAAAAGATTGGTAAGAAATTTTTTAAGTCTTAGCCATTACAAAGCATATTTTTACTTTTGTTTGTAACCCTTTCTAACTTCATTTCTTTTACTTTAATCTATGTACTTTTGTTAATAAGCTTGTTTTACTTTTACAATAAACCAACTTAGTGCTGCGCTTGAAGGGAAGGGTGTGTTTACCCCAGTTAAGTTAATAAGCTGTAAAGGAGCAAACAAACCTTATTATTTCTCTGAAATGTTCCAGAAGAGGGCTGGACACTTGAGGGCAGATGGATTTCGGGAAATTCAGGACTGGGAGGTGTTGGAGTCACCCCTGCATACACTAACCGTTGATAGTGAATAGAGGGGGGCTGTTCTTTTGTAGGCAGACTGCTGGGTCTAAGCAGAGCGCTGAACCTGGGCTGCACAGCACACAGTCACTCAGGATACTTCATGCTTGCCTGCTGGCTGTTGGTATCCAGGCTGTGAGCCATAGCAGCAGAGCAGTTAAAACACCCAGGGTTACAGGGCAGGTGGTGACACAACCCCTTACTTGTTCTGGATCGCATCCCAGAACATGACAGTAACATTGCCCCATCCTGCTGCCACTGAATATGGGACGTGCGTAAGCCTTCTCCCCACCACCATGTCAAGGGGGTGGGGGGGGGTGGATGAAGCTACAGTGAGGAAGCAGGGCCCAAGGAGTGGAGCTATGGGGTGCCTTATGTTATGGTATTGCTTTGCCTTAAATCTAGCCCTGAAATATATTATCCTGTTAATATATTTCTGTTAGGAATATCATGGAAGGCCATAATTTTCTACAAACTATGCCAATACGTAGAATGAAATACCATCTCTGACTTGCACAATTTATACAGAACCATCCAGTTTCTGTTCAATTCTTGCTCAGCTAAAGCTCCAATTGTCTTAGGTTGGAGTAATGTCAAACAAGGTCTGAATCAGAAACGAACAACAGAAATAATGAATTAATAATGACTTCAGCATTTGGCCCAAAGCTTCTATAGCCACTGCATGGAATTTCATGGTGCAAATATGGGGGGTAGATCTTCTATTTCCCCGCTCCATGCATGGAGGAGTTTTCTGCACATGGGCCTCTTCCCTTTCATGCAGAGGAGTGACTCAGCTATTTTTCAGCACTGTCTTCCCAACACCTGAACATACTGGAACATTCTCTGCATGGTTCATGAGCTACGCTGGGAGAAGGGTGGAGATAGAGCAGACCAGAGGTAGTAAAACAACTCTTTTCCTCTCTGGTACCCCAGCCTTTAGTAGAAAAGATGATACATCTAACACAGGGGTGGGCAAACTTCTTGACCTGAGGGCCGCATCTGGGTATGGAAATTGTATGGTGGGCCATGAATACCCAGTGGGGGAGGGGGATTCTTTGGGGTGTAGCATGTGGGGGGCTCTACAGGGTCAGTACCAGGGACTCCTAGGAGCCCTGCTGGCAGTGACACCTAGGTGGCCATATCAGGCACTGCCACGGGCGAAAGCACCCTATCTGGGACGGGTTCAGCCCCTGGGCGGTTTCAAGGCTTTTGAGGGTGGGGCGATAGAACACTGGGAGGGGATTGAGCGTACTGCCATGGGGGTGGGGGTGGGCGGGGGGGGGGCTGCCACGTAGGGGCAGGGTTCTGATCCCGGAAACAGCACGGTGAAGTCATGCCTGTGCAGCGTGGCTCTGCATGCCGGAAGATGGTGCTCATCAAGGGAATTGTGAGTCAGGGGCTGGTGAGCGCTAGGCGGACAGAGCAGATCAAGCTCCTGACCCTGCTCACTGTGGGAGCTCGAGGACCGGATAAAAATGTCCGATGGGCTGGAAGTGGCCCACGGGCTGTAGTTTGCCCACTCCTGATCTAATACCTTTTCCATATAGGAGCCTATATCATCTTTTTCCTTGGAATATCAAGATCTACTAGGGCCAGAGCCAGTGCAGTGGCACAAAGCCTTTTCACACAGAGGGGCTTGGCCTTCCGTGGATCCTGAGAGATCGGCTAATTTGAGGGAGGGCCCTCCATACTTTTCTATGAGAAGCAGAGTCATGCAGGGAAAAGCATCCCTGTCCAAAAGCCACCTCATGATTTATAACACCCAAGGTGTTGATCTGGCTCCTGCAAAATACTCTGTAAATAATGTTAACAAGAAGTTTCTTGTTTTACCGTTGTTTCCTAGTAAGATAGTCAATAACCTTCCCACTAAAAACAGTGGTGTATGCTGCAGGTTACGTTATCCATGGTAAAGTTCCTCCTTAATACATATGGCCTTTTCTGTCTGATTGGAATGCTGTAAACTGTCACTTTCAAAGTCATCCTCAGGTCACAACCAGGTAGCTGGCCCTGATGATTAAAGGTTTGTTAGCTATGAGAACTGTACATATAGCATGGAGGAGGGTAATTAAATGGTCCATTCCTTTCTCTTTCATTGCTATGGGAGATCATGACTATATAAAAGCAGCATGACTATTAATCTCTGGTATGGTGTTTTTTCTCAAGTGTGATATGTACATCTCACAAGGAGATGGGCTCCAAGGAAGCTAATATAAAATAGCATTGGACCTGCTCTACTGTACTTTTAAGAAGCAGCTGTGACCCTCATATTCAAAAACCATTAAAATACAGACATACAGAGGGGAGCTTACCCCAAGTTCCCCTTGTGACAGTGTGCAGAGATCCCATGGAGCTAGGCTTTGCTGAAAGGAGGACGTGAAACCCCCATACATCTCAATTCCTAACCCATCCTCAGTGTAACCAAAATACAACACATTCTTGTGCCTGGGACCCACAGGATTTGCTCCTTATCATTGCTCCTTGTCTCATCCTAGGTTTGTCTCACCACGTTCTAGAACATTGCAGTAACTCAAATAGCCTCCAGCAACTCTCTCTTCCCTCCAGAAAAGTATGTTCCATACCAGTGAAGTCCATTCCAAGTCTCCATATTCAAGTGTGAAATAAATATGTTAATTTAGAACAATGTCAGGCCTCTTAAAAATACAATACAACATAATTCAGCTAATTGGCTGACCACAGCATATAAAAAGGTTTACGTAATAGGAGCTACATGGGCACATTATATTTAAGGTAGAAGAGAA